GCAGCCATTTTCTGTGCCATTCTACAGCTCTGTCAGCCTGTTCATAAAACCTTACTAGTCTTTTAATTCCTTTTGTGTTTATTTCAATTTTGTCTTTAAAAAAAGTGTTTCCTGAAGTGGCCTGTTTTTCAGACATTGCATTTTAAAGTTGACAATTACATTTTAAACTTGACAGCTATAACAAGCTTTTTGTGTCAGAATGTGTTTTGTCGTTTATATCATTACTCTTCACTCTCTTAAGACTCACTGTTATTGTTTTCCTTCTGATTTTATTAACACATTAGATCAGTTCTGTTTTGTAATGTAATGTAAAAGTGAAGTTCCATTTCAGAGTTATTTGTATAAATGTATTTAAAACTTTGGGGGCTGATTCGGTCTTGATACAATATCATACTGTGTATACATTCCAACATTAAGTTTTATGCTTCATTATATGTTTTATGTTATAGAACAAAAAATAGATTTGTTTTAATTACTTTGAAGCTGCTCTTTCTTTGTTGTTATCTGTCATATAGAGAGCAAATGTGAAAAGGAGCCAATTTATTACTGAAGCCATCAGTGTGGATGATGTGCTCTTATCTGTTTAGAGCAGCGATAGTGAGAAGGTAGCTGAAAATAAGCCAAAAATTGGGTGCTTCAAATTACTGACAAGTGGGACTCGGTAACCTTTAACAACCTGCCTGACTCAATTTAATGCTGAAAAGATTTCAAAGATTCACTCAATTGCACTGTAAATCTGAGGCACAACCAATAATAAGAATAATAATAAGAAGAACAGACAGACATTAATTATACAGCCAGCAGTTACAAAATGCAGGGCTTTTTTGCGTTTTTTTAGGTTGTAAGACAGAAGTGTTTATGCAACAGTAGTTATTTAAACATACATAAAGTGTCTTTTTGGATTGTGGATTGTAATTGTATTCCTCTGAGTAACACCAGTCATATGTATTATATAGTAAAACAATTTTCGAAGCATAGACGCATCAGTATAATTTTAAAAGATATGTCCCAGATTATTATATGAGGACTAATAATGTGTATTTTGGAGTGACTATACGTAGATTTTGATTCTTCCTTCCAAATTTGTATTGGTGTGTAACCTGTGAAAGATCCTATGGCCTCCTTTTTAAATGGTTTGCTCACAGTGTAAAGATTTTCTAGTCTCTGGATAATTAGAAGGCTTTTTTATTGTCCATCAACATGACTTTTGAGAAGCTATTTATCAGCTCAGTAGAAATATTTATTAAACTATTGAAATTGTCAGAGTCTTGACACTTCATACTGTAGCTAGAGTCTTTAAAACGTCCGATGCCATAGAAATTACAGAAATAAAATGTCCTTGAAGTTCATTTGAAAGGCCATTGAAGTATTTCCATGTAGATATCTTGGTGTCATTTCATTTTCCTCTATAGAAGCTTTACAGTACTCATTACATAAATCATATTAACCCTATCTATACCGCTTAATGTTTTTCATTAATATTTTAACCCAGAGAGCTCTTTTAAGTCTCTGAAGACTGTGTATCCAGTCATGATTAGCAGCTATACACTGGGGCCTGAGATAAGATTTAACATTGCCATTATAAAAATCCTCTTTTGAAAATCAACTCATTTTTTCTGTCCAACAGAAGACCATCAAAGCTATTCCAAATCCAACCAAATGGCAGAGAAAGATGACAATAACAATGACGAGTATGACAACTATGATGAACTGGTGGCCAAATCTTTGCTGAACCTGGGCAAAATTGCAGAGGATGCTGCCTACCGTGCTATGACGGAGTCTGAAATGAACAGTAACTCCTCCAACAGCATGGAGGAGGAGGACGACGATGAAAACGACAAGAGTGTCAGGAAAGGTGAGCTCAGCTTGGATGTGGACAGCGATGTGGTGCGGGAAACCGTGGACTCTCTTAAACTTCTGGCCCAGGGGCATGGAGTTGTGCTGTCAGATACCCTGAATGGCAGGGGTTACCTGGAAGGGGTTGGCGAAAGTAATAATAACAGTTGCAGTCGAAATAGTGGTGCAGGAATGCAGGGCAAGGCCACCAGCAACGGGCAGGTGGAAGAGAGTGATGAGGAGGTGTGTCTCAGCAGCTTGGAGTGCCTGAGGAACCAGTGCTTTGATCTCGCCAGGAAGCTGAGTGAGACACAACCAGCAGAAAAATCGCAGCAGCCACAGCTGCAGCAGCCAACGTATGCTGACTGCCAGCAGAACGAGGACGAAAGGTCAGGGAGGACACTGGAGCGCAACTACTCAGACATGGTCAACCTGATGAAAATAGAGGAGCAGCTGAGCCCAAGGTCAAAGACCTTCTCTAGCTGTGTCCAGGAGGATGGCTGCCAAGACAGGGACGAGGACACAGCTTCGGTGACCTCTGACCGCTCGGAGGAGGTTTTCGACATGACCAAGGGGAATCTGTCATTGTTGGAAAAGGCGATCGCCCTCGAGTCAGAGCGTGCGAAAGCCATGAGGGACAAAATGGCCATGGACGCGGCCAGGAGAGATAATATAAGAATGCACGATGAGCACAGTCCCAGGCAACATTGTGGGGATGAGAGGAAAGCCAGACTCCATGATGGCAGCATGAAGAAGCCATACTACCCTAAAGGTAAGATGGCATTTTCCTCTATTGCGTAGCCCTTTACAAAATACATTTCAAAGTTATTTAGACATATATATTTACAAACATTGCAATAATTTGCTGTTTTGTGATGCTTTTTTGTGTTTTGCAGCATCATATTTCTCACCAAAATTTGATTTGCAGGATGTCTGTCAGAGGTGGTTGCTCCAATTTTGAAATGCCAAAATACTTTCCAAACTAAACTCAAGTGAAAAAGACATTACATTTATCTTTTGTATACTATCACTTGCATCATGTATATACTTTCAGACGAATTTGAGAACAATCAAGAACAATTTTGCCCTTGAGCAAGGACTTTGGAAATTAATGGATCTGAATGGTTTTAGTGTTTGTTGATATTTGCAATGCTGATATTTGCAATGAGTACAGATTGATCAATCAAAAAGAGTTTCTGAATGTTTTCCTTATGGTTGAATGCAAGATACTTATTTACTTGGCTTCAGGAACATTGTGATTTTTACGCCTGTAAGGACTAAACAGCAAAAAGTAAAAGCAACTGTAATTGCATGGCTTTCCTTTTAAAATCATCAGTATTCTTTTTCTAAAATGAAATATATATAACTGGCACCAAATTTTACTTTTTGGGGTCCCTCAAAACACTGTAACATAAAAGAACAATATAAGTTCTTTTAATGATCCAGATAATCATACTCTATGCTCTCTTATGATAAGAAGGTTCATGTTTGGCTGGTCATGGTCCTTGATTCTGAAGCTCGTAGTTAGAACTGAATCCACACTTTGGAAAAGAGGACTTCATGATAACCCCGGGATAGGTGTTTTAAACCAGTTCACAAATCCAAAACTCAGTAGTTGCAGTGGTGAATTACGTTTTTAAAATAGGTTAGCATTGCAACATTGAATGTTTGGCTTGTCAGGCATAAGTAATGGCAAACCACTCAGAGTTTTAGAGCTGTGAATCTCATACCAAGGACCAGCTTTGCTGTAGTACATAAATAAGAACTTTGTAAAACATAAAGTTTGTACTGGAAATAAATCTTTCATGTAATAAATAGCATTATAATTTGAGCGTTTTAGGCGGTGCATTTAGAAAGTAGCCTTTATTCCCCAAAAGGTAATACTATGGTTAAGGTAACATATTTTGGTGGTCAGATTGGAATTTACACTGTAATGATAACAGTTCTATAAAAGCATTCTTGTACTGTATAACGATTTTCGTACAACACCATAGATGAACACCTTTGCTGATTTTTAATGTCCAGTCTTTCCTCAGAGGTAACAAAATCATAACAGCTGTGAAACCATGTGATCCATTCATTGAGGCCTGTTTCTGCATGGCAAGAGAAGAATGGTTTCAGTTAGATTTTTTACTGGCACTTTTTAACTGAGTATTTAGCCATTTTTAAGGTAATGCTGATATAAAGTTTGACACAGACAAAATAATCTTTTAGCTTTGTGGATGAGTAGAATAAATAATGTAAACGATGAGGGGCACCTAACAATATGTTATTACATATGATTGTTCAATGATTAGCTGTTACAACACTTTAAGGTAGTGCCCATGTACAGTTTACTTTGAAGTGCTGTGATCAAGATTTTGAAGATTCTGAGCAACGTGAATTAAAGGAGTAATTTAATGACAGGAGTAGTTGAATGACAAACTTGATTTCTTCTCACCCAAATTAAGCTGTAGTAATAAAAGTTAGAGCTGCTCTAATACTAAAAATCAGTAGTGGATACTTCATAAATAAATGATGCTTATGATGTGCTTGTGATACGGTATGCTTTCATGTTATATATTGTAACTCCTGAAGATGTTCAGGATTCTCCACAGCAAACCTTCTTTGTAAAAGAAAGAAATGCATGTTAACATGTACAAAATATTTATATTTTGGAGGTTTTGTCGTTCGTCACAAAGTGATGTCATGAAGGTTTAAAAAATATTTGGATTAATGTTTTATTAAAAATGTTTAAGCAGTTTGTTATTATTTTAATAACATGTAAAGAAATCATCAATACAGTGAATCATCGTTGTCTCTCTTAAAAATAATGTAGATGCTTAAAACAATGTGTTGCAGAATCTTCTATATGATAGTAATTTCAAGGCAAACTGTTTGTGAGTCACATTAATATTACAGGAATGTGCTCAGCGAAAAGCGACTATAGTGTTCTAATTTTCTAATAATGATAGATGTCCTGTAGTACTATCACGGAAAAATGTCTTTTCCTTATTGAAATAAAGGAAACCTAGGCTGTGAAAGAGATAACCACTGATACTTATTGCCAAAGAGCAATCATATGTGTAAAATATGTGTAACTGATTGTCTGGGGTGGGTGGCATCATGATTTATAAAATTATCATGGCTCGACAGTTATTGATGAAGGCCTTCTCGCCTAAAAACTAAAGATGCCGGATAGGAATTGAACTGCATCAGAATGACCGATAACGAAAGACAGGGCCACTGACTGCACATTAATTATCCTAAGATGGTAAGGTAATGGAAACCATTTGCTATGCAAGGCATGGTCTTTCCTCGGTCACAATCAATATCTATTGCTTTCTAATATGCATTCCACTTCACTGGTTTTCTTCTCCTGTGAAGCTGCAGTGAAGTTGCTGTTGTCTACTGTAATATGAATTTCGTATCACCAAATGAGCCATTCAAGGAGGCAGCAGTAAACCCGGATGGAAGAAGCTTTATTGTTTAACATAGAGGTATGTAATACCAACAGAAACCTAATTCAAGAATAGACATCAGTAGATAAAATCTTTATTTCTTGTATTTGTATTATCCACCAGCCTATACAAAATGTCACTCCTTTCCAGTGTAAGAAACCAACACACACATGGGAAGAACACACAAACTCCACATAGAAGGTGCTACCTTGCTGAATTTAACACAGGACCTCAGATCTGTGAGGCAGCAGTGCCATATCACATTACCTCTCTGAATTGTTTTATATTGTTGAGTTCAGTACACTATGTGTGTATTCTGACAGCTAGGCAGATGGGATATATCTGGTACATTGCCAACAAAATGCAGACAGCATGTTTCATTATTTGGCACTGGAAATGTACATAGCTATAATATATGAAGATAGTTTTGCCATCACCACGTGTTTGAGAAGGCTACTGTCCAGAGAGATGTATGTGGTACAGTAAAGAATGATGTAAAGTGTCTCAGAGATAAAAATATAAAAAAGGTTTGAGACAATTAAAGAGAAATGGCTGACATATTACATTAATATTTCGCTCTGGTTTTCATCAAGCAAGAAATCAACAACATGCCTCAGGCTGATGAAAGACACATTTCTGTATTAAATAATATTTCCATAAAAGAAGCAGAAGTGTTACAGATACTAGATGCACTAAATAAATCTCCACAGCCTGATGGTACCAATTGTATATAAACAGACAAGAAATTTTATTTATACTGTAGATGTTAGCAACTGTTGACTGTTGTTCAGGACCTGGGTAATACCCATTTAATGAAAGATTCCTAATGTAGTACAAAGCCAACTCAAGTAATTATTGCCCAAATAGTCTTACTTCTATTGCATTTAACGTTATGGAAACGATAATTAGAATTAAACTGCATCATCTCTAGAGTGTATGATAATTGAGTTCTGGGGGACACTTAGCAGAAATTTAGAAAAACCTTGTTGAAAACAACTTGTTAAAGCCCCTTGAACAAGCAACATCGGCAATGAATACAAACAGGGCCTATGATGTGGGTATATTTAGATTTTCATTGGGTTTTTATAAAGTTCCACATGAAAGAATGATTCTCAATTTGCATGCATTTGGATTAAGAGTTCGTTATTATATAAAAACAGTACAGATAAAGGGAAAATTAGGGTAATGCTGAGTACCACATGGATGTGTATTAGGATTGCTGTTCTTTTTTCTTTAAATCAATGATATAGATTCTAGCATAGTTTTGGAAACAGTTGTGTTCACAGTTCATGGTAAAATAAAAAGAATATATATTCAGATATAGTTCAGGACTGGGGAAACACATGGAAGAAATTTAAAGTAGAGGTTAGAGTGGGATGTGTCAGTGCTGTAAAGAAAGAACTAGAAATTAATTGAGCAATGAAAAGTATATGGAGAAAGGAAGAAGAACCATATGTTTCAGAGGTGCAGGAGTGTAGGAAACACGGGGAGAGAGAAGAAATAAGAAGCAAAGGGGAGGGGTTGGAAAGACAAGAAGAAAATGTCAAAAAGGGCAGGGGGAGATGAAAATGGGGTTCAAGAAATTGGAAAAATGGTTGATGTATTCTTGAAAAAGTGTTGAAGACAGCAGTTTGTAAATGAATGGAGAGATTATAAAAGTATGAATTGGTCATTGTGTGCTGAAGGAATGTGTGAACCAAGTTTAAGAATATTTTGGCTTCTGATATCTTTCTGGAACAGGTGTCTTTGAAACCCTATATAATGACATTGACAGGCAGAGCAGTCATGGTTAGGAGAAGTACTGTAAAATGGGAGACTGTCAGCTTGCTGAGAACTTCCTCACTGCTCTGACATGTTTCCTGAAATGGACAGTCAGCCCTCTTCTTTTTGACCAGTAGAAATGTTGAGATTTCTGGACTAGTGTGTTGTTTGCTGGATAATCTTGAAACAGAGGTGGCTTATAAATATATACTTATAGGTTCTCATTTGCATGTGACACAGCAGCTCTTAATGTAGAAAATTGCATAGTGTAACATATACGTAACATAGACATAAAGTACTGTACCTGTATGAATATGAATTCTGCAACAGACTGAAAAAGACTCAGATGTTTATATACCATTTTCATTGTTCAATGTGTGGAAACAATAAAAAACAAAACATAATTAAGATAGATCATTTAAATGGCTGAAGTTAAATGGTGGGGGGTGGGGATTTTAAGTGGCTTTTGTAAAAGACCATTGAAGAGGTCTCCAGCCTGAGTCTTGTCACTTACTGACTGTGACCAGCAGTCAGCAAGCAATGGAGCACAATTGGCTTAGAGTCAGTGAAG